AAAAGTGGGTGTTACATTGTACAGTGGCATTAAGTTCTGTAAACGTGCACCTCTGTCTATCCCTTCGGGGATAAAAGGCGTGATGTTATGTTATGTTATGGTGCCTATTTATTAGTTTGTAATAATTAGGTCAATCTTTATAATTATTACAAAATTAACTTGATCCGTTCGCAATTTAAAAATGTTTATTAGAGAGCGCCGCTGTGGTGGTAGCCCGGGGGTTTAAGAAATCCCACTTCTCATGCATCAGTGGCTTTTTTTTATTTTATTTTAAGGGGGGAATATCGTCGAATCGGATCGCTCCCGTCTAGGTGAGGCGGGAGGGAGTGTCAGACTCTTACTGACTAAAAACCACCCCGTTCCTTCTCCTGCACGTCGAGTCGGAGCTCCGGTTACCCGTTAGGTTCTCCGCGACTCCGAATCGGCATCGGCCGTATTGGGCCCCATCTGTGGTGGTCTGATGGCTCTTTGAGGCGCGCGCGGAACGCGACGCGCCGTACATGCATCCGTGGCTTCGAAACCTACAAACAGCAAGTACTAATGTGACTTTTTCCGAGTTATACGTACTTTCTAACAAGACAAATTCTTTGTTCGATATTTTGTCCATTATGAAATTCGCAATACACAGTCTATAATATGATATTACTAAAACCAGCGCTGTATTTAATATAAATAACAGATGCAACTGAAACTCCGCGCCAAAATGGAAAACAGTTGTGCCAATCTAACAACTACAAAAAAAAAAACAAAAATTTGAATTTGGAACCATAAACGAATCATCCATTCCCGATACTTTTTTGACAGAATGTATTCTATTTTGCTGTTAATTTACATACAATTTACAAACGGCAAGTACCAATGTGACTTCTTCCGAGTTATATGTACTTTTTAAGATTATTTAGACACCACTGACAAACGGTGATGGAAAACATCGTGAGGAAACCTGAGCTTATAATTTCTAATTATAAATTTGAAATCGCCAACTCGCAATGACCTAGCGTGGTTAATGCTCAATCTTTGTCTGTGCGAAAGTGGCCTTTATCAGTGGCCACTTAAAGACTGTTGATGATGAGGGAGCGCTGCTGCCGGGTCTCATAAGATATCCACAGGAAGGCCAGCAATAGGGATACATTTTTTTTATGGAATGAGAGGCAAACGAGTAAACAGTTCACCTGATGGTAAGCGATCAGCGCCGCCCATGGACACCCACAACACCAGAGGAGACACAGGTGCGTTGCCGGCCTCTTAAAAAGGAATACGCTCTTTTTTTTTAATTTTAGTAAGTTATTAGTATAATGCGTCAAGCGTGTCTTTGCATTGTTCTTACATATGCGTACAATTTTGCAATGTGTATCAGAGACATTGTAGAACATACTTTTTTAAAAAGAGTAACGATTGGAGTTTCTTGCTCGTTCTTCTCCATTCGAATCTACTTTTTGGAATGAGCACCTAACTTCACCTAGTTTCACTGACGGACTGACTGACAGACTATTATTTATTTTGTATTTGTTAACTTTTCAAAAGTACCAAACTATGGTTTAATTGAAATAAATGCTTTGACTTTGACATTGACTTTAACTTTCTTGAAGGTTTGAAGGTCGTATCGGTTCCGAAATGCCGCCGACAGATCATTGTATTCAATTTTGTCGTTAATTAACATATATTTCTATGTTAATTAATCTTCGTAACATAGTTGGAATTAAATACCATAAACATTTTAACGTTTTCATTATTTCTTTTTTGTGCTGATTTTAATTCGAAGTTCACGGTCAAGTTTAACAGTTATTTTAATTTTAAACTAGTTTCTGTTCGCGATTTTTTTTATTATTGCCCCAGTCTAGGATTTTCTCCTGTGTCGTGGGTGCGTTTACAAACATACAAGTTCACATACACATCACACCCAGACCCGAAACAACAATTTGTGGATCACATAAAGAGTTGCTCGTTGCGCGGCAGCCGGTTGTCCAGCCACCACACCAACCGTGCCATCAAGTTCTTATTACGAGTTTGTTTTACGTTTAAAGTATTCGAAACGAGTACGCGTTCGGGGCTCTGATTGGCCAGCTCCAATGAAGCAACCAATCAGAAAGACGAAGGCCTCTGTATGTGAAATCCCGTTTTTTTCTGTTCCAGTGGAATTTTCGGGAAAACCTTGCATAAAAAGTATGCTAAGAACGAGCAAGACACTCCATAGGTTACTCTTTTTCAGTCAGGTTCACAATACAATTGTCTAGTTACATAGTTTTGTTGTAACAAAACAAATATTTTCGCATTTTATTTATAATATTTTCGCATTTTATTTATAATATTAGCAGGACAAGCTTCTGCCAGCGGGTTCACCCGCATTCCTTTGGGACACAAAGTAGCCTATATGTAATACAGAGCATAATCTACCCCTGTTCTAAATTTCATCCCAATCCCTACAGCCATTTTGACGGGATTAAGTAACAAACACAAAGTTGAATAAACTTTCGCATCTGTTCCAACAACTGCCTAGTACTCTGCCCATACGTCGAATGCATTAGACCGTAAAGATAAGCACTCGCTCTATACAAAATGTTGTTTTAAAGCCGCGTCATTTTCTAGGAGGTAACTCGGCTATCGATTCTGAGTCGGAATCAATAAAAAAAAAATTGTAGGTAAATATTTTTCATTTTTCTGTAAATTACGGAAATCCGTAAGTGCGAACTACACGCCGCCGTCTGGTAACTAGTTTTATAACGCGGCTTAACACACACAAACTCAAACACGTAATTGATATTATTCCTAATTCCATAAAACTCCAATAAGAACCATTGCTGTCGCTTATTCTGAAACACTGTTGAACTTAAACGATTTATTATAGCCGTATTTTTAACTATTGGCCCGAAACTTTTACTTACATTGAACCTTTATTTATATTACCCCCGAAAAATGACACAGTTTTAAAACTACACCTTGTTTAAGCATGTTCGTCTTCGATCAACAATAACAACTAGATATCGGGTTGGCGCAAGAAAATCGTCTCGACAAATTATAAGAGCTCACTTGAGAAGTGAGCTCTTATTTTGTTTAGTATGCTCCAAACACGGCCAACGTGCTCACGTCTCACGATGCCGCAGTGCGTAATTGCAATTTGCAAAAAATAATAACCGAAAAAGCAGTATAACGGCCGGAGTGTCTTACTTACGATAAGTCCATAAAGTATACGTTATATTTTAAGCTTTTAAACTAGTAAATAATATCAAATTAGACAAAATTACCAATTATAAAACAACACCACCAATGTTTGTGCGTATGTTGGCGATCCCTTGGCCAAGCATCGCCAACACGCGCACAAACATTTGTTTAAACAGAACAGTGGATGCATGGAGTCGATTTGTATTGTAAAATAAAATTGTATTGTAACCTGATTGGAATAGAGTACCTAACCTATGGAGTTTCTTGCTCGTTCTGCTCCATAGGAATCTACACCTAGGAATGAGCAAATAGTTCACTTTTAAATTTATATTATTGACGTTCAAAAGTGCCTTCCTGGTCTAACTGAAATAAATGATTTTGACTTAGACTTAAACTTTTAATAATAAAGTAAATAAACATATCATACACAAAAACGTACCGCTAATAAAAATAAGTGATGTATACTAAGATCCCGAAATATTAATTTTCATAATTTATAAAATTATTTTAGTGTTCAACGCTACTCCATACATACCTCCTGTAGCGAAATTCGAAATTCTAAAAACAAAAACGAAACGAAACAAAACGATATAACATTGCAAGGCAATAACGGAAAAAATATCTTTATTTGTTCTAGGTTAAGGTTGTATTCAAACTAGATATTGAATAACTTATGTCTTTTAATTTCTACATGACAAGAGTAAGAAAATGCTTTTCTCGTCTTATATATGACAAATGGTCATAGTATTAGATAATATTTTGGCGATTTATGACTTTATTATTAGGTGCCATGGTTGTTATTAGGTTGACCTTAAAACCATTTTAAAACATTTTTCTCTGTTTGTTATTTTTTTACTATTATTATTCACACGGACAGAACTGGAGCTTGATTTTGTACGTAACCCTTTATCTAGTTGCTATTGTTGATCGAAGATGTTCGTAATCTCTGTTTAAATTCTAATATTTGTACAGTAAGCATTATGTTCAGAAGTTAACAGTGACCATTGATTGAGTTATGGAGGGTATAAACAGAAGGCTTGCTAAAACGCTGACAATATTTTTTGTTTTTACAATTGGGTATTTTCGTGTGCGTGAAGTTACCGGAGGCCCAATTACTCCTCCCCCTTCACCAATCCCTGAATTCCCAAAAATCCACGAATTCCTAGTCTCCATAAGGCCAGTAACGCACTTGTGACGCCTCTGGTGTTGCGTGTGTCCATGGGCGACGCCGATTGCTTACCATCAGGTGATCCGTCTGCTCGTTTAGCGGCTTATCCGATAAAAAGGATGTACGTTTATCGGATACTTATATCAAGGATATATATATATGATAAATCCCTTCATATCACTTACCTTTTCACTTATCGAATTTGATAAAACCTATACGTAGGTACCTACTACATATATATGGCTCAAAAGCCCGTGTGACTCATAATAACTTAAATTGAACTTTATGGTATAGGAAAATTCCATTACTTTACGTACATTATTTATTACTTAACGATAAGGTCTAATTTTCCATGACGTTTGATAGTTTTTTGTTATTTGGCTAATGACAATTGTGTTATTGTGTTATAAACTTTAGTGTCGAACCTTCGAAGCTGAATTTAATTTAAGTACGTGTGTCGCCTGGACCGTCAACCTCGCTACATCCTTGTTGACCGGACATCTACAATGCATGAGCTGCTGTTTACATGTGAACATTAGCTCATGACGATACCTAAGTACGTGTGTCGCCTGGACAGTCAACCTCGCTGCATCCTTGTTGACTGGACATCTACACTACATGAGCTGCTGTTTACATTTGTGAACATTAGCTCATTTACTTTCAATACCCTTAGAAACTACACACATAATAAAAAACGACACCTAACTCAATAAAAATAAAGTTGAAACTGTAAAAACTATGTCCTGACACAAGATGGCAGATTTAATGCAAAGACTAAGAGAGTTGGGACGCAAAAAAGATGTGAACTTGAACAATAGTGTATATTCTGTGATTTCGTGTAGCGACCTGACGCCAGGGAGCGTCGATATATGGGTGGACCTTCCTGATGAAATCAAGTTTGATCCTCTACTGGCACCATTCAAGCAGCGGTACGAACAGCAACATGGTGAGTTGGTCTTCCTTCTTATATCATTATTATCATCATTATCATATAAGATGTCTACTACTGAACATAGATCTCCCCCAATGCATGGCAAGCGCCGCGCAAACCGTCCAACCATAAAGTGCAGATGTTGATGATGACGACCAAATAAAGGTCGCATAATCACTGGATGCAGGTCGCTTCTAACCAAGCGAGCTGAAAGTCTATTTGGAAGGTCTATTTTTATTAATGTGAATTAACATAATTCTACCTTTTTAACCCATAAAAGAGTACAGAGGGATTTAGTTACCTAACACCCTCAATTCACCAGGATTTTGGGAGCTCCATGTTATAGACAATGAGTGCATTGCCATACATTAGGAACAATTTCTAACTCCGTAATAGTTCAGTAATTTGGTAGTTCTACTTGGAACATATTCCGGGAGTTGTGAAAAACCACAATCTTGTAATATTATAATTAACGATTTTCTCGTAAAATATACAGGAAAAGAGATATTTAAAAAAGAACTGTTTTTGGCCGCCATTTTCCAAGAGAGTCGCATGCGGCGCGGCGCACGAACAAAGGTGCTAAATGGAAAGAGCACATCAAAATCGACAAAATTGCTGATTTTCAAAACTCCCGAAAAACATTCCAGCTAACCCCCATATTTCCCTTCTTAATGATGAAGAAAATTTTTATTGCGAAAATCAATTACATTGTTTATAACTACCTACATAAATATTTACAACTTAAAATTAACTACAACTAAACTACTAAATAAAACGAAAATAAAAAATAAAAGGGAAACAACAAAAATTATACCCTCAATTTAGGCGTCTAAGTATTCGTCTGGATCACTATCACAGGGGAACGTTCCCAGAAGACTGGCAGCGTTGCCACGTTGAATTGCAATGCTTATTTTCTGTCCGAAGAAATAGCCAGACCTCTGGTCACGTGTAGAGTCGATCAGCCTACGGGCGATATCTTTAAAAACCGAGTGTGTACTGAGACCCCATGGCCCAAGTGTTTCGACCCCAAACGGCTCAAAACAGTAGTTACCCACTAGATATGAATATTTACGCCGTTTGAGGGCCTCTGCCGCGGACCGCGGAAGCGGCTGCACCAAAGCATGCAGCGGTACTTAGATGATCTTAATGATCGGACTAATAAGTTTAGTGAGAATCGAATTTTCGAAAAATTCAACACAAAACACACGTCTATTTCCGACCCAGGAATCGAAACTGAAACTTTTTGTTCGACAGTCATATTCACCGACTACCCTACCGACAAGGTATTCTTTAAATTCAATTATATTAAATTAAAATCATTTTGTTCATAAGTTTATGTTTTGAACGGAAAAATCGGTGAAACCACAATGACTTTGGATATTTCCTATCATCCAACACTTAGGTATTCTAAAATTAGAATGATTCTCATTATATTTTAATACCTACTATGTTCAGTAGATTGTTATTGAATACAACAGCATATAACGTCATGCTATGACTGCCTCGTTGGCCAAGTGGTCACTAGTGCGACTGCTGAGCAAGAGGTCTCGAGTTCGATTCCCGGGCCGGGTAAAGTTATACTGGGTTTAATAAAAAATCTCAGTAGTAGCACAGAGTCTGGAATTGTCCCCGGTATATGGCAATAGATTAACCTACTACATGGGTCTCATAACATAAATAGTGAAAAGTGGGTGTTACATTGTAAAGTGGCATTAAGTGCCGTAATGTGCACCTCTGCCTAACCCTTCGCGGATAATAGACGTGATGTTATGTGAATGTTATGTCTTACTCTTGAATTGTCCACTAAATAACTATACTACATACTACTGTTAGGTATTAATCTGTGTTTTGTACCTTCAATGATATTCGTCTAAAGAGCGTTTTACCCGTAGGTATATCCACAAGGTGACCGCTCTCCACAAACTACATTATTAACTTTATTTCCAATACTAGCTTTTACCCGCGGCTTCGCTCGCGTCACAAATTGATAAAAGTAGCCTATGTGACATATACCAATACACACAGCGCCATCTATACCAATACTTTTGTTTTCCCTCGGGAATATTACATTTTACCGGGATAAAAAGTACCCTTTTATTTAATCCGGACTTCTAACTTTACGTCTGCAAAAATTCAAAGCAATCGGTTTAGTAGTTACGGCGTGAAAGCGGAACAAACAAACAAACAAACTCACTTTCCGATTTATAATATTAGTAAGGATTTAGAGACTACTTTTGAATGAACAAAATTAGGGGATGATTTTCAACAATTTTCAACAGGTTAAGTTCAAATTCACGGAAGCTACCATACTTCTTCTTCTTCTTATAGTGCCTCTTCAATGTTGAAGGTTGGCCGTCAGCTTCTTGTATTTCTCCTTGTCGGTAGCCATGCGGAACAATTGTTCGACAGATGTATACCATATTTATACATTTTTATAAAACTGGATATCAATTATTAACCTTACTCACATGATTATTTTTTTAATATTTTATTGTATTGAACAGTCGAAATAATTTATTTTTGATGATGGAAAGTACCCAATAATATAAAAGGTTTTTTGCGTTAGTGATAAAAAGGGTTTTTTCAAGTGACTGTGAAGGTTTCCTCTAAAGTATTCCATGTGTCTCTGTCTTGAGCTGTTTGTGGCCAGCAGGCGTCAGCTATTTTTAACAAGTCATCTGCTTTTTTTATATTTGATGGGTCGTCATTTGACTAATTACTATCTTGCTTGTTGGTAAGCGATGATGCGATCTACTATGGATCACGTCGTCCCATAAGCAACCTATTCATTCGGGCCTTGAAGACACCCAGGTTATATTTCAACAATTAAATATGTGATTTCAGGTAAAATAGAGCTGGAGGATCATGCAGAAGGTGATAAGACAATATTTGATAAGAAACATGAGGTGGATGCGAGAAGGGAGGATGTGGAACCTCTTAAAGACGCAGCGAACAGGTTAGTGTTGATGATAGTTACTAGAAAATCCTTCCAGAGAAAAAACAAAATAAAAATCAAATTCATTCATTCTTCGCATTCAAATAAATAATCAAAATCTTCAACTTTATATTACTACTAGCGGTTGCCTTCGACTACGTCCGCGTAGAATAATGACTTCTGGCAGAATTTAGGCTTATGAATTAGTCTTTATCAAGGTATATTCTACGGCCATGAATGTCGTTAGAATTGTATTCAGAACCTAGTAAAGGGCTCCTCCTCTGTTGATGATAGCGTGATAATATGTAGCCTATATGTTGACCCGACTTGTCAGTAATATATATTCATACAAAATTTGAAGTAAATCCATGCAGTACTTTTTGAGATCATCCCGGACATACATACAGACAGACAAACAGACCAAAATTCTAAAAACCATATTTTTGGCTTCAGTATCCATTGTAGATTACGTACCAAGTATTCTATTAAAAAAATATTCGATATACAGTTTTGACTTTTCTTCGATTTTATTATAATTATGTACTAGCGGAACCAACAGACGTTGTCCTGCATATCCACTTGAATGTATAAACAAAAATTCATTCAAATTAATTCAGCCGTTTAGTATAAATAACCTAAACACCGACTACAGCGCCATCTGCCGGGCTGATTTGTGAATATAAACCATTCCCAGATCCCCTTGAATACACACAAAAAATGTTATCAAAATCGGTCCAGTCGTTTGAGAGAAGTTCAGTGACATACACACTCACAGAAGAATTATATATAGATAATAGATAAATATATGCTGTTTAACTCGTCGAGTACCGTCATTATAGACACAATTATAAAACAATAGGTTGCGGTCACCGGTGACCGCTTGGTGTTTGACAGTTTAACACCTTGAACGCCATGGGGGACAAGGTAAGGGCCACGCTAGCGGAGGATTTACCCTCAACAGTTTTCTGTCGGCAGTCAATCATAGATGTGTCGGTAAATTGTATGTATGTATGTATGTATATTTGTGCGCACTTATCTCGCGACTGGGTGATCCGATTTTGATGCTGTTTTCAAGTGTTTATTACACTTAAGAGAAGGTTTTCGTACATCAATTAACGGACCTCAAAAAAAGATGGAGTTGAATTCTTTTTTATATGTAGAGGTAGTTAATAACAGAATTAGGTATTACATTTCATACATTTATCCTGTTCTTCTTTTCACAGATTAATGGAACCCATGCAAACAAAAGATGAGAAGAAACTAAAGTCTGCCAAAAAGAAACGGGTCAGTATTATATTATTTTAATTCTTACGTATATTTTAAGTGTGGGAGAGCCATGCTTCGGCACGAATGGGCTGGTTCGACCGGAGTGATACCACGTTCTCACAGAAAACCGATGTAAAACAACGCTTGCGTTGTATTTCATCGTGTATGGAGGCCCAATTACCTCCCCCCCTTTCCCCAATCCCTCAATCCCCAACAATCCTCAAATTCCTAATCCCCAAAAGGCCTGTAACGCTCTTGTAACGTCTCTGGTGCTGCAAGTGTCCATTGGCGACGCCGGTTGCTTATCATCAGGTGATCCATCTTCCCATTTACCGACTTATCCCATAAAAAAATTCTATCCTTGTTATTTGACAGTTCACAATCGAGTTCTTTTCGAGAAACTTTGTCAAGAAACTATACTTTAGGATTAAATGTCTAAACCCTTATCAAACCCATATCCCAAACATTAAGGAAAGAGTTTCATATTGTGTACTTTTCAATGTCCATATAAGGTATGCTGATTGCTTACCCTATCATGAGGTGATTAATCATTTTTGTCCTCTTATGCCGTAAAAAAAACCGAGTACAAAGCCTCAATGCATTAATTTCTTCACAGCTAGACCAAGCACTGCGGACAGTGAAACTATGTGGCCTCATCTCCTGCTGGGTGCTTCTCACTGTCTCCTTGTTGATGAACATGGAACGATCAGACGTGGTGCTGCATACTGCTGTACAGGGTGGGGAGATCAAAGGTAAAACAATCGACAACCTACCGTGTTTCATATAGGTACAGCTTGACCAAAAAGAGTTTGGAATAGTTGAGGTCGCTAGTATCGTAATAGAGTGGCCGGCTCGACCGGAGTGACGCCACGGTCTCACAGAAAACCGCCGTAAAAAAAAACTACGCTTGCCAACGCAACTGTTTCGTCGTGTGAGTGAGTTTACCGGAGGCCCAATTACTATCTACTACTGCTGAACGAATTTATGATGAGACTTGACACAAAGATAGATTAGAGTGTGGAATAAACAAAGGCTAGTTTTACCCGGGAACCGAAGGCTGTAACAGAAGCAAATCATCGATTGATTAATATTAAAAAATATTTCTCTTCCAGAGTACGAATTACCGACCAGTGATCAACGAGTAAAAGTATCTATCACATTGACTGGACCCTTTGCCCAGCCTGTGACCAATGAGAGCGTGAACACACTTCATATATGGCTGCATAGATCTGTTGGTGACAATACAACGACAGAATTTGAACAGGTAAGTAAAAATTGTCCTTGTTGACTGGACATCCACACTACATGACCTGCTGTTGACATGTGAACATTAGCTCATGACGATACCTAAGTACGTGTGTCGCCTGGACAGTCAACCTCGCTACATCCTTGTTGACTGGACATCTACACTACATGAGCTGCTGTTTACATGTGAACATTAGCTCATGACGATACCTACACACATGGTCATATGTTTAAGAATACAGTTCTCTCATTATTTACAACAATGTTATCGTTGTTTTATAAATATTTAGACTAATTACAGAGTACTGATTGCAATTAAATTTTATGGCTTATCGTACAAACAAGCAAAATGTTTGTTGATACGTTTGTTTAAGATTATTTTTTATAGCAGTAGTGAGCAAGACAATTTATTATTATCAATATCGATGACCGTCGTTTAGTGTAATCAGTGATCCAAAAATGTCCGACTAATGGGTCTAAATTCCGAAGAGGTGCAATACTTATGTAAAAATACCTACTACAAAATGTCCTTAGACACCACGTTCATAGCTATTTTGTCATTAGACAATACAAACATGTTTTATATTGATATTTTCCTCGCTAGAGAGCTCCGATAAACGCGTGCGATCGTTTCAAGTCATGAAGTGCTCTTGGACGAAACGCGGCCATCAACGCCGCAACAGATACGTCCCTGTATTTTATATTTGTAATATCTTCGGAAAGATTCACTTGAATTACATGCTGTAAAAAGCATATTGATCTATGATAAATGCATAATTTATTTAAAGTACTTCATTGGAAAAGGATTAATGCTGTATTGTTTAAAATCACTTCGTAAATCACCATTGATAGTAAAGGATAAAAAATGGTTATGGTGGGTTATCCCTAATAGATAGACATATACCATCGCGGACTTTTTTGTTGAACTTTTAAGGTGAACAATACTGTAGTATATTATTTTGGTCTATCTCGTAGGGTACAGCCAGCGTTTGCAATATAAGCGCAAAAAACGTGCTGATTTACGACATCACATTAGAAACCTCTAAATTTATTAGTGTTTCTCTACTATATTATGCATGTATTATACATATAAGTCTTCATTAAGAATCACTTTATCTATTAAAGAAAACCGCATTAAAATCCGTTGCGTAGTTTCAAAGATTTAAGCATACAAAGGGACATAGGGACAGTGAAAGCGACTTTGTTTTATACTATGTAGTGATTTTCTTCGAATGACATCGCACCTACGGTGCAATATCGTCACTCATGCAATTTTTGTCAAACCTTAACTGATGAAAGAAAACTCCAAATTCACCTCTTTACTTGGTGCGTTATTTATTGTAATTTGTGTAGTAAGCAAACTGACATTGTGAGGGCATTACTGTCGTTACGGTTTTGACGCTAATCTGGACGGCACTAGGAAAAACAACGTTTCATTGTTCAGTTGTGCGCGGGCCCCCGCAATACATAAGTGACGGTATAGCACCGGGGGTACGACATGTCGAAGTGTGTTCCCTGCAAATCTTATATTGTTGTGCCCAACAGGGTCCACATTGTGTCCTAATTATGTTTACTACTTAAGTCACGTAGGTACGTGAAAAGCAATAAAGAATTGAGTATTTAATATACTAAATACCCCATAAATTGGCAGGTATATTTGGATTTGGATCCATGGTAATCTTGGTCAGTTGAAAAAATACAAGCGGTTACCGGGGCTCCAACTCGAAGCATTAGTAGGAACAGGGTGGTTTTTAGTTTGTAACAACGAAAGCAAGTGAAGTCATTGGATGATTTTCTCCATTAAGAAATGCGTTATTTACTGCCAACTTTGATGTCATTTTCGTCATACCAGTAAATTAAAAAAACTTAGATCTTTCGGAAAATAAAAACCAGTTACACTTTCAATTGGAATTATGACGCGGTATGAAAATTAAAAATCTAATTAGTCCGTAAGTTAGGTAATGAAAAAATGTTAGACACGTATTTTTTATGTTGTCATATCTATAATAAAACAATACTTAGATAAAACGAATCAAAGTTTAGGAATGGGGGCTAAAACGTCATTTCTACGTTTAAAATTTACATAGAAGTGACGTCACGCAACATTTCAAATCAATATATCGTCGAAAGTATTCGTTTTCGTAAGAAAATTAAAAACACGTGTCTAATGATTTAAAATAATCTACCAGACGGACATTACAATAAAAATTAACCATCTACCCTATTCCAGAATTCAACAAAATGGAGAATACACCTCCAACCAGAAGATATCCTGGACTTCTCACCCAGTTCTACAGAGAGCAGACTCCTAATTCTTGAGGAGCAGGCTCCCATACTCACTCGAGGACATCAGGACCTGAACTCTTCACTCAGTCTGATAACGGAAGAAATTACGAGATGGGGCCAAATTGGAATTAATGGTATGTAAAATCAACTTTATTGCTTTGTAATGAAGTCTTTTACACTTTAACTTAATCTTATACTATTATATAGTAGAAGTATATATATATTGTATTATTTGTACGTTTGTTTGAACGCGCTAATCTCCGTAACTACAAGTCTGATTTGAATAATTATTTTTGTGTTGGATAGCGCATTTATTGAGGATGACTATAGGCTATAAAACATCTCGCTACGACCAATAGGAGCTGAGCAGAGCGTGTGAAACCGCGCGGAAGTAGCTAGTTTATTATATTCTGACAGTTTGAGCATTTGTGCGACCTACCTAAATGCTCTTTTGGTTGGTATAGTTCGTCGGGTTGTTCACCAACATCCGTTACTTGAGCTGATTGGAAATGGACACATGCGTGCTGCCATCAGAACAGGTCCGCACAAACTGTTGTGAATCTTTCCTCAGAAGACCACTACAGAATCAACTTGCACGGTTCTCACATATTACATAATCTGTCAGGACTTTAAGAGACAATGCCCTCTGAGTTTGTTTCGGCGTTCTTCTCAGATTAGTCAGTTAGGAAATACCGGTCCTCATCTAGCAATTTAAATAATGACGTGTAAAAAAACTATTATTTTGTAACTAGGTTTGCCACCTTTTTTTGGTATATGAAGTACATTGACGATTATAGGTAAGAAAAACAAAGTACACAGTACAAAAATATAGTACAATTTATTCTTATTTAGTATTATATTTAAAAATATATTTTTATTGCTTTTTGCAGTTTGTATTAAATTAGTATCTTTACTAAACAATTGCATCTTTACAAAAAATTGTCGTAAGTGGCGCTGGCGAGTGGCGAAATCGATTCAACATAAATGGATAAATATCGATATCGAATCGATAAGGTTATCGAAAAATACTTACGACTTTAATAGAAATGAAGTTTGCAAAAATAAAGTATTTTCGTGTACTTTATTATTCTTATAAAGTATAGAGTACAATTACCTTAAATAACGTACAATACTTTATTATAAAGTACGGGTGGCAACCCTATTTGTAACCCATTTGCTGAAATAAAAATATCATTTCATTTCAGTCTAAAATCTGACACGATCAAAAAAATGAAATGTTATTATTGAATCAAAGTATAGACTAACCTTAAGCTCGGCTCGGAGTAGATGTTTTTTAGTCAGCAAGTATCTAAAACTACGTCCAGTCTTCGTCCCGTCAGGGTGTCTTCAAGGCCCGAGTGAATAGGTCGCTTATGGGTAGACGTGCCCCATCGTAGACCGCATCATCGCTCACCAGGCGAGATAGTGGACACGCATTATTAACTGACTTCAAAAAAAGGAGGCTCTAAGTTTGACCTGTATGTATGTTTGTACGTACAGTGGAGCCCCGGTAATCTGGCCCCTGGCTAATTCGGCACCCCCTATAATGCGACATCGTTTATTACATACATGTATTCGTTAATTCACGATGGAACAAGTACCTAACAACTTATACGCACTATCACTATTGTGCTCGACGCGTAGGGTATTGTTTTGATTCTGATTGCTTAGTTTTAAATCTATACTAATATTATAAAGAGGAAAGATTTGTATTTTTGTATTTTTGTATGTTTGTAATGAATAAACACAAAAACTACTGGACCGATTGCAATAATTTTTTCACCATTAGAAAGCTGCATTATTCAGAAGTAACATAGGCTATATAATATCACACTAGGTCCTACAGTTGTGGAGCAGTAACTAAAAATGTTTCAAAAACGGGGGAAAAGTATCGTTTCTGAGGCCTTCCGTAGCGTGCGCTGAGTATATAGTTAAAGTTATACAAAAATGCTCTATAGATGAATTGTTCATAAATAAATGAAATAAGTAAATGAAGTCCGGAAAAATATTTTCAAAAGGTAAATACTTCCTAAATAAAAAAAACTGAGAATAAATATAAATAAAACGTAAAACTATGTAAAAAATCTTAAGTCCCCCCGTGCGAAGCCGGGACGGGCCGCTAGTTCAGTCATAAAGTTTGATTATTTTAGTACATATGTACATTTGTTTGTACACTTGTCTTGTGTAATTACGATTTAAGTTAGGTAGGATTTTACTTTAAAACACTATCCATGCAAACTTGTGTAATTTACTAAATTTGACATACATAACGAAGTATGATTTGTAATCTTACCATTGGATCTGTAATTTGCCGGATTACAAGGTACTCCTTTGTAAAAAAAAAACGGACTATAGGGGGTCTTAGGCAGTATAGAGTACTCTCTACACCCGAGCGTACGGCGCGTCGCGTTCCGCGCGCGCCTCAAAGAGTCATCAGACCACCACAGATGGGGTCCAATAGGGCCGATGCCTATTCGGAGTCGCAGGTAACCGGGGCTCCGGCTCGACGTGCAGGAGAAGGAACGGGGTGGTTTTTAGTCAGTAAGAGTCTGACACTCCCTTCCGCCTCACCCAGGCGGGAGCAGTCATTCGATGATTTTCCCCCTTAAAAAAAAAGAGTACTCTCTACAATCCGACAAATTCGATAGTTCGACACTGCCCTGCAAAATGTTTGTCGAACTACCGGGGCTCCACTGTAATTATCTGAACGATTGCGATTGGCTGAACCGATTCTGTTGAGGTTTTCAGAAAAATGCTTCTGTTAAACTTAGGAGAAGATTTAAGTATATTAATTAACCGACTACAAAAAAAGAGAGGTTTGAAGTTGACTTTGAAATAAGAACCCGTCTGTAACTAATGATCTAATTTATATATTCTTTTTCAACATTCCAGGTACAAAGCTGACTCTCCGCATGAGTTCCACCAGTGACAGTATAGTTCCACTGACTGTCAGCTACCAGATGAATCCGATTGACCCCGAAGAGGGCATCATCTACGCAACAATCCTGCTTATCACACTGTACACTCTTATTATATTTGAGGTACGTATTCTTTATACTACCTACTTTATCATCATCATCATTATCATAACATAACATCACGCCTTTTATCCCCAAAGGGGTAGGCAGAGGTGCACATTATGCCACTGTAGAATGTAACACCCACTTTTCACTTTTTATATTATGAGTCTAATAGGGGGTGAGCCTATTGCCAAATACCGGGCACAATTCCAAACGCCGTGCTACTACTGAGATTTTTTTTTAATAAATCAGTAATACTTTGTCCGACCCGAGAATCGAACCCGAGAATCATCATCATCAACAGCCTATAAATGCGCTAAGAAAAGCCTCTTGACACGGAAAAGGTTTGAGCATTAATCACCACGCTTGCTCAATGTGAGTTGACGATTTAAAACTTATAATTTGAAATTGTAAGTCCAGGTTTCCTCACGATGTTTTCCTTCACCGTTTGTCAGTGGTGTCTAAATCTAAATTAATTATTTAGATTATTTAGAACTTTCTAATTACATATATTATTCGTATAAATCGAAAATTGTCATATTGGTACTTGCCGTTGGTTGTTTTCGAACCCCCGCCCTCATGTGGGCCTAACCTCCGGGCGATCACGACATTTCTATAGCCTAACTTTATACTTGCAATACCAGATGCATTAAACCTTGTTGAGATTTGAAGATTGGAGATTGAGATTGAGACTAAGATTGGGGATTGGGATTGAGAGTGGGGATTGGGATTGGAGATTAAGATAGGTAATTAGGGTTAGGGATTATTTTTTTTTATTTATTTATTTGTATCAGGCAACGAAGACCCATATAAAAATACAATAATACCATAATGTACAATTTTAAGATTAGGATTAGGGATTGGGGATGGGGGTCTCGACTTTGGTGTTCAGAGGGAGAATTAGTTGGGCCTTTAGTACCCTCATTCATAGCTAAATAACGCAAGCGTACTTTCACGCTGACTTCCTTTGAATCAGTAGTATTACTGGTCAAGATAGCCCATTCGTGCCAGCGCCAAAGCATCACTCTCCTTAACGAAATTACGAATCAAAACAGATAAAATTAAATAGGTTGCTTGGGAGGACGTGCTCCACCGTAGACCGCATCATCGCTTAACACCAGGCGACATAGTTGTCAAACGTCGGCCCATCAATCCTTACTAATGTTATAAATTGGAGAGTGAGTTTGTGTGTTTGTTCCGCTTTCACGCCGTAACTACTAAACCGATTGCTTTGAATTTTTGCAGACGTAAAGTTAGAAGTCCGGGTTAAATAATAGAGTACTTTTTATCGCGGAAAAAATTGATATTCCCGAGGGAAAACAAAAGTATTGGTATAGATGGCGCTGTTTGTATTGGTATATATGTCACATAGGCTACTTTTTATCCTTTTGTGACGCGAGCGAAGCCGCAGGTAAAAGCTAGTACTTATATATAAAAAAAATTAAAAATATGTTGGTTTTTCAGATAGTAAACCGCACAATAGCAGCTCTGCTCTCCTCGTCTCTAGCAGTGGGAGTACTGGCTCTATGTGGAGCGCGACCCTCGCTACCTGAACTCGTCTCTTGGCTGGATGTGGAGACTCTACTCCTACTCTTCAGTATGATGTTGCTGGTCGCTATCCTGGCTGAAACTGGACTATTCGATTACCTCGCTGTCTTGGCGTTTGAAGTAAGTGGGAATTGGAAAATAATCATAACATGATGCCTTTTTATCCCCGACGGGGTAGGCAGAGGTGTTCATTACGGCACTTAAGCCTCTGCCTCGAATTTTGCGGGCAGTGGGACGGAGCGGCGGCGGCGCGGTTGGCATTGCTTGACTAGAGTGCACCGCTCGTTGCCCGCCGCAACGCCGCTGTGTTTTTGAGAATCAGTCTATTTGATTTTACGCATATGATCCTGCCGCTCCCGCGCCGCCGCCGCCGCCGCCGTCGTCCCGCTGCCCGCGAAATTCGAGGTAGAGGCCATAGTGCTTTGTTTGTAATTAGTTATAAGCAATAAGTCAGGATTAAATAGTTCGCATTTATCGCATTGGGTCATCCTGTAATGGTAAATGTAAGTAAGTAAATAAATAAATAAATAAATAAATAAATAAAATAAATAAATAAAAAAGGCGTGATAGCGACAATAAAAAGGCCATTGCAACGCACCTATGGTCCTTCTAGTGTTGCGGGTGTCCATGGGCGGCACTGATCTCTTACCATCAGGTGATCCGTCAGCTCGTTTGCCTTCTAACCATAAAAAAAATGTTTGCAGGTGACAGGCGGCAGAACATGGCCTCTGATCAACGTCCTATGTTTCTTTACTGCGATATTCTCAACGTTTCTAGACAATGTGACCACTGTGCTGTTGATGACACCAGTTACTATCAGGTGAGGTTTGAACTATATCGTAGTAGTTAGAGAGATGACGACCAAAATTTTTGTCTCATAGCAATACGGCCAAAACCGCCTCAAATCGATAGATACGATTATCCTGAACTCGAAAATACCAATATCAGACATTTTCCGCGTAGCGTTTGATCGGACCACAAAAACACCAGACAAAAAAAATGTCTCATAGCAATATGTCTGAAAACCTTTTTTATTAGTAAACTTTGGTTATTTGATGCGAACAAAACAATTTTCAGACGGAAATGTGAACGCATTAAATATTGAGACCGTTTTGAAAATGTTAACAAATTTTACCGATCGGTATCATGGCAATATGTCTGAAAATTGTTGGACATGATAAAATAAGTTGTCCACATGTGCAAAAAATGTATATCAGACAAAATAAGTGTAGCACCTTCTCTATCAGACAACTTTTCGATACTCAGATATTTTTGACACAGCAGAAATGGCCTCCCACGCAGTTGCTACACTTTCGACCATTACTACACACCTAGTCGGGTTCAGAATCATACAATCTAACGATTTTATAAGGTTTTTGCCGTATTGCTATGAGACATGGTTTTGGTCGTCATCTCTCGTACTAATAGTATAGATGAACATGATAATTGTGTGTATTAAAGTAACGATGGAGTTTCTTGCTCGTTCTTCTCCATGCGAATCTACTCTGCTACCTCGTTCAAGGGGTCTCGGGATTTCACGCCTATTTTCCCCGAAGGGGTAGGCATAGGTGTACATTACAGAACTTAATGCCACTGTACAAAGTAACACTCACTTTTTACTATTACTTACGAGTCTGGGGTGAGCCTATTGCCATATATCGGGCACAATTCCATACTCCGTGCTAAACTCCTGAGATTTTTATTAAAAACGCAGTAGCACTTTTCCCGACACGGGAATCGAATTCGAGACCCTTTGCCCGGCATTCGCACAAACTTGTTACCAGGCAGTCTAGGCTAATACACGATATTTTATTTTAATAATTAATATATTGACGCTAGCGTTTTAATTTTCAGGTTATGTGAGGTAACTCAACTGAATCCAGTGCCTGTTCTTATGTCAATGGTGATATTCAGTAACGTAGGGGGCGCTGCTACACCAGTAGGCGACCCACCCAACGTAATCATAGCCACACACCCTTCCATAGTAAAAGCGGTAAGTTTTATTCCATGTCCAGCAATAGACATATTTTGTCCACCCTTAGACATATTTTGTCCACACTTAGACGTATTTTGTCCACACTTAGACATATTTTGTCCACACTTAGACATATTGGGCTTATTATTATCAATATTTGTCTGTTGTTAGTAAATACATTATTTAATACGTTTGGGAGCAAATAAACGGAACTGTTAACATTTTTTATTTTTCATTTCTTGATCAATATTTTCTAATGCAAGTGTTTTGTTAATTGGTAACGTATTAGTACATAGTATAAAACAAAGTCACAATCCCCCGTCTGTATGTCCCTATGTATGCTTAGATCTTTAAAACTACGTAACAGATTTTGATGCGGTTTTTTTTAATAGATAAAGTTATTCTGAAGGAGGGTTTATATGTATAATCCATGTATATTGCACCCGTGCGAAGCCGGGGCGAGTCGCTAGTGTCGTATAAAAGGTATTAGTAACCTTTAAAATAAAAGCATTTTGTTGTAAAAGTAATATATTTTCAAAGTTTTCGAGGGTTCTATAGAATAAAAAAAACGCTAGTAGCTTCGTTTTTTTACTTCCAAGTGTATTTGTCCAATTTTAGCGACAATTTGTCTACGCTTAGTCACACGTTGCCCACTATTAGTCATAAACAGACCCAGTACTAGTCATATTTTTAAATATATGCAGATATCTTAAACCGATTGAGTTGAGATTTTGTAAATACATTTAGTTTGCACGACCATAAAGCATAAATGCATTAAACTGTCAAACACCAAGCGGTCACCGGTGACCGCAACCTATTGTTCTTTAATTGTGTCTATAATGACGGTACTCGACGAGTTAAAGCTCGTTTTTTACTTTAATTTTCATTATTTTTATTTCAGAACATAAACTTCACGACGTTCACGATACACATGGGGGTAGGCATACTCATAGTATGTGTACAAACCTACTTCCAACTTAGATATATGTTTAGAGATATCAACAAATTGAGGCATAGCGTTCCAAGAGATATATTAGGTATGTATACTTGACATAACCGAAAAAAACGAAGCAACCTATGTGTGGGAGAGCCATGCTTCGGCACGAATGGGCCGGCTCGACCGGAGTGATACCACGGCCGAGCAGAAAACCGATGTGAAACAACGCTTGTGTTGTGTTTCATCGAGTGAATGAGGTTACCGGAGTCCCAATTACCACAATCTTCCCAATCCCCAAATCGTCCACAATCCTCAGAATCCACAAATTCCTGATTCCCAAAAGACAACGCACTTGTAACGCCTTGGTGTTCCAGATGTCCATTTGCGATGCTGATTGCTTACCATCAGGTGATCCGTCTGCTCGTTTACTATTTCATTAATTGGCAACGTATGTCGCATAAAAAGCAATTTGGTTACCTTTAAAATGAAAGCACTTTGATCACCTGATGGTAAGCAATCAACGCCGCCCATGGGCACTCAGAGGCGTTACAACTACGTTGCTGGCCTTTTGGAGATTTGAGAGTTAGAGCTGGGGGGAATCCTCAAGTTTGTGACCCTGATATCCGTCTTTTTTTTTAAGGGGCGAAAATCATTGAGTGACTGCTCCCGCCTGGGTGAGGCGGGAGGGAGTGAGACTCTTACTGACTAAATACCACCCCGTTCCTTCTCCTGCACGTCGAGCCGGAGCCCCGGTTACCCGTAAGGTTCTCTGCGACCTGATATCTATCTGCGAACTACGCAAATATTTTTTCACGTCGATTTACTGTCAGGCTGTGGTATCGCCCCAGTCGAACCAGCCCATCCGTGTCAAAGCATGGTTCTTCCATGGCATTGTGTATAAACATTGAACTTTAGAGTAATGTAAATAAAAATCATTTTCAGAGTTACGTCAGGAGTTGGCTGTGTGGAGACGCGCTGCTGCATCACTATCCTCTTACTCTAGGGATGAAGATATAGTGAGGAGGGCGCTTGAGAAGAAGGTACTTACTGTATTTATGAAGTTTTTGTTTCATTCGCTGCCGCTATTCCGCTCTCTTAGACTTTAGACTGTCTTTTAGCTTAGGTATAACCTTCTTCGATAAATAATAACCAACCAACAAGTGAAACAAGTGAATTTATTTCTGCAAATAGGCTACAAGGCAGCACTTTTACACGTCAATTTTACTAAGCGAACGATGAGGCCGACATTTCCTAACTGACTATTCTGAGAAGAAATGCCGAAACAAACTCAGAGGTCTGTCTCTTTTAAAGTTCAGACAAATGTGTATAAAAGATTATGTGTGAGAACCGTGCAAGTTCTTTCTGTAGTGGCCTTTTGAGGAAAGAACCACAATAGTTTGAGCGGACCCGCTCTGAAGGCAGTCCGCATGTGTCGGTTTACAATCAGCTCAATTAACAGGTGAGGCTGATTGATTCGACGAACAACACCAACCTAAAGAACAATAGACTATCTTACTGCCGAAAAACGCGCGCTCGTTTATAGTGACAGACCTATATGACAGAACTTAACTGTGACTTAAAATTGAGTAACGTTTGAGTATTTCGACATTAACCACATACAAACTCTTGAAAGATAAAAAAATATTTCCCTCTATTCACAATTAACGTAATTTATTTATTAAACTGTCATTTATACATCTACCTACAAGTGTTTTGACTTTTATTGTGAAAATGTAAGTCATACTATCATTTACAAAAAAAGTAAATTGATGAAAATAATTTTGACGAATAAGGAACCTTTTCACAATAAATCTTTTTATTTTTAAAACTTGCGGTTTGCAATCTAATGAAAAAAGAAGTTCAATCCCGGAAATACTTTATTACAATGCATCTTCCTTATTGTCTAATGACTATTTGCGTTACGTCATACGCATCGCTTGTACGAAGTTAGGAAAATAAAAAAGTAAGTAACTGTAAAAAAGATATCATTATACATAAAATATTATATGAAAAGTATAATTATGTATAACATTTATTTATTTATTAATAATTACAGATGAAATCACAAAACTATAAAAGAAACGATTATTATCATTAGTTATGATTTTTATGTGTAACAAAACGTTTTGAAGCGCTTGTCAGTTGTCAGCTGTCAGTGTCAATATTATCTTTCATTCGCTCTCTGCGTTTCCGTTGTTTTCGCGTTATTTATCATTATTGTTTTGTATTTTAAACAAAAATCGCAAGTTTTACAGGTTTCAGGACAAATGTTTAGGTATCGGTAATTAATACACAACACGATGCTGAATACTGCATACTTGTACATGACTTCTAATATAGTGGGTCAAAGATGTACTGGGCACCTGGCATTGTCCTTTCAAATGCCTGTCTATGGTGATGAAATAAACTTGGAAACTACTTACAAACTCTCAGAAAAGTCACATTGATATTTACTTGGGTTCGAACCCGACCCCCTCATGCTTGGATATTATGGCGGCCTTCATCTACACTTACTTTTATCAATATCTTTATTCACGCGTGTTGGGAGAAGGAGCTTTAACCTCATGTGTTTAACCGGTTTATGAGACACTATAAACATTTATTTATTTATTTTAAAGCTTCATGCACAAAATGTACATAAGGTGGACTTAATGCCGCAGGCATTTTCTCCCAGTCTGACCTTTGATTTTTGAGAATTCATTCTGTCTTGCGTATATCTGCGTTCCGGCTTACGGGTTAAAGGCCCTTTTTAATATGACTAAACTAATCTATTATATTTTGGTGCTCAGGTGGAGAAGCTGAACATGGCGTTAAGTCGCCGGGAAGCCGGGGGTGGGGCCTCTAGAACAGATCCTATGTTCTGCTCCACTCTCGCGCAGATGAAACAAAAGGTATGAACAAATAAAATGAATTCTAGGCACGGTTGGTGCGGTGCCTGGATAATTGGCAGTCGCGCAATGTGTAGCGAGTTCGATTCTCGCACGGAACAAGGCTTTGTTTATCCACAAATTGTTGTTTCGCGTCTTGTCGTCATATGTATATTTGTAAACGCAAAAACATGAGCAATTCCTAGTGTGGAAAGTTTTAAAAAATGACAAAAGAATTAGGTCTAGCTATTCCAGGGATACACACAACATAGACAGACAAAGTTGTAATAAATGATATATTGGTATATGTATCCTACACACGACCACATCAATCTATACGAAACCAGTGTATCCTGGTGTCGCGTCGCATCATCTTTCCGCACATTTAACGTTCAGTTTATACTGGTTATGTAAAGCTCGATGTGTAGCCGTATATTCATATGCATGCAATAAAAAGCGGTTATTTTAATATTGCAAACATACACTCTAATTTTATTTGTCTGTGTAGATAATAATTTTACTTTGAATATCTATTTTTGTTCCAGTATCGCATTAGAGACAAGCCGTTATTAGTGAAGTCAACTATATGCGTCTCCTTCGTCATCATAGTGTTCTTTCTACACGCCATACCTGAATTACGTAAGTTAAAAGTCTTTTTGTTTATACCTAAAACAACAATTATTTTGTTACCCTCCCATAATTTATTTTGTTATTTTCTTAAAAATTCTTCAATCTCTCTCTGTTGTACCTCTTTTTACCCGACTACGGCGAAGTTAAAAGGAGGGTCTGTAAAAGGAATGTGCCTATTGCCATACCTACAAGGAGCAACATTCCGGACCAGGCCTAACGGGTTACCGGGGCTCCAGCTCGAAGAGCAGGAGTAGGAACGGGGTGGTTTATAGTCAGTAAGAGTCTGATACTCCCTCTCGTGTAAACCAAGGTGGGAGAAGTATTTGAATGATTTTCCCGCATCAAAAAAAGACCCTTTACATGCAGTATTATTTTTCTCACACAAATAACAAGCACCTGGATGACAGAGCTTTGCGCAGTGTTTTTTAGTAAACGACATTTTCTGAAAATGAAAGCAAGCTAGATGGATTTATCACTTCGGAAAAACCTTCATTACAAAATTTCAAGAAAGTCGGTGAAGCCGTTTTCGAGATTGTTGATACATACTATACAATAAAGGCTTGTTTAAAGGTATTAGTTACCAATTAAATTACGTGCTATTAACGATCATTTCGGAGAACCGAAAATCTCAATCAAGATCTACCTAATCACCTGTTCGTAGTGTTTTTTTTTGCAATAAACTTATATCCCATTTTTTCCTTTGCAGAACGCCTCTCTCTAGGCTGGACGGCTCTTCTAGGTGCCTTGCTGCTGCTGCTTCTGGCTGAAAGAGACGACCTGGAGCCAATCCTGGCCAGGGTCGAGTGGTCCACCTTACTATTCTTCGCTGCACTTTTTGTGCTTATGGAGGTAAGCCATTTTGTCCCGTTTTAAGAGGGGGTTCTGATAATGAGGACTGGTTTTCTGAGTCGGTGAAAGTAAAAGTTATTGGTTTAAACTTCGAACAACAATAACAACATTGTTAATCGAAGGGTTTAAAGAACAATAGGTTGCGTTGCGGTCGCCGGTGTTTGACAGTTTAATTGAAGTATAATAAACTAGCTAAGCCCGTATGTATGTTGACCCGACCTGTTAGTAATATTCATTCAAAATTTGAAATAAATCTATGCAGCACTTTTTGAGTTCATCCCGGACATACAGACAGACAAACAGACAAAAATTCTAAAAACCATATTTTTGGTTTCGGTATCGGCTATTGATCAGAGAGCGTCCTTTGATTAATTCCACTCCATCCATCCGCGGAGAACCTAACGGGTAACCGGGGCTCCGGCTCGACGTGCAGGAGAAGGAACGGGGTGGTTTTTAGTCAGTAAGAGTCTGACACTCCCTCTCGCCTCACCCAGACGGGAGCAGTCATTCGATGATTTTCCCCCTAAAAAAAAAATCCATCCTTTACATTCTCTTCCTCAAACCAAAAGTGCTGAAACAATAGTTGTTTAATTTATTGGTTTGAACTATAACCTGCCAAGATTTTTTGTTTATTTTATTACAACTTCTGTTTATTTATGTATATTTTAGGCTTTATCAAAACTGGGTCTTATCTCCTGGATCGGCAGTATGACGGAGAACCTTATATTACAAGTTGGCCAAGAATCCAGGCTAGCTGTGGCAGTTATGCTAATATTATGGGTAAGTGAAGTTACAACTTACAAGTGAAGGCCCAATCCTCCCTCTATCCATCAATCTCCAATCCTCGATCTCCAATAGCCAATTTCCAATCTCCAATCTCCAATCTCCAATCTCCAATCTCTATACTCCAATCTCCAATCGCCTATCCCAACCCTCAATAACCATCCCCAATTTCCAGTGCCAAATCCTTAATCCCTAATCCTCAATTCCCATCTCCACTATCCAGCCCCAAACTCTAATCCTTAAGTTGTCAAAAGGTCGGCAACGCACTAGCAACTCCTCTGGTGTTGCGTGTATCCACTACCCATGGATGGTGGCACCACCTGATTCGTCTAGTCGTTTGCAGGACTATTCCACAAAATATGTTATAAAACGCTTTAAAATTATACCTCTATAGTATAACAAAAATAATGAATGCTCAGAAAAAAATATGCTCTCATCTTCCAGGTGTCAGGTATAGCATCAGCATTCGTGGACAATATACCGCTGTCCACGATGATGGTGCGAGTGATAGCAGCGCTGGCTGACCCGGCCGGGCTGGGTCTACCTCTTGCTCCTCTCGCCTGGGCCCTCAGCTTCGGAGCCTGCCTTGGAGGTAATGGAAGGTTCTTGTGCGAACTGCTAAGGAGTTGAATTCTTTGCCAGTGCCTGTTTTTTTTTTATTTATTTATTTACACTTCTGTATATTATAACATACGATGGCGGACTTAATGCCAGGTGGCATTCTCTAACAGTCAACCATGGGGTGATGGAGAGATGTGCAACAGTAGGTGTAATAGGTATTATAATTCAATTTATGTGACGCAGAATAAATCTATATAAATAAATTCATGATTATGCATAACTGTAAATACATATATATCCGTATAAC